TATAATGGAATCAAAGGCTTGACATAAATCAATCATTAAGGCATAAATGGGGGACTGAAGTGTTTTATTAAATAAGTAAAATAAGTAAAGTAAGTCAAAGTATATTTAATACAAAATATCACGTATATATATATAATGAATTCAATCCTTCAGGTTATGTAATTTACAAACGAAAAGTTAATATTATATTCAATTTACAATTACATTTATATTACAGTTCTCCCCACTATAAATTGAATTCATCGTGATAACGTAGTGGGGGTTTCGAAACTCTTTTTTCAAGTTGTATTCTCATGTTCTGCCTTTTCCACTTCTTCGGTCAACGTAACGGGTATTTCCTTCTCTTGTGTATGTGCATCCCTCAATTGATCTGCATGCTTGTTTTTAACAATCCCCTCTGATTCCACATCGTACAATATTGCGCTTTTTCGTTGTAACACTTTTCCTTCATGCCACCCTGCTGTCCTTTCGTTTGCTATCCAAACTTTTTGCTGCTCTACAAACTCCCGAGGTTTAACACTTCTATATTTGTAGTACTTTTGTTTCTATAGAGCGTTTTCCGTCCTTTCTCTCGTTGATAATTTCCACTGATCTAATGTCGTCCTAAGCGACCTTCCAAACATCATCTCGGCAGGGGATTTACCAGTAGTTGGATTGGGAGTATTGTGGTGAGTAATTAAAACATTCGCTAAATTTAACTGGTCCGGAGTCCCACATCTCCTTCCAGCATAGAAATGCGTCTTTATCGTCCGTATATATCGTTCAGCCAAACCAATCGATTTAAGGCTATAAGGGGCCGATCTAAAATGTTTTATATTGTTTTTAAAAATAAACGTTTTGAATTCAGATCCAGTAAACTGAATACCGTTATCTGAGACAATGAAGCGAGGTAACCCAAATCTAGCGAAATAATTACGCAGATTCTTTATTACACTCGCCGATTTAATATGTGTTAAAATTGCAACTTCAACCCATTTGGTAAAAGCGTCTACGCAATTTAACCAATACTTTCCAGATACGGGGCCTGTCAAATTAATGTGTAATCGTTCCCAAGGTCGGGTAGGAATGTTCCAATTGTATAATGGCACTTCTTTAACTCTCGGCCTGCCTTCTTGACAACTCTTACAACATTTAACAAAGTCTTCAACATCAGTCTCGAGATTTGTCCAAAAAACGTAATATCTACACAATGATTTCATCCCCACTATCCCAGGATGTCCTCGATGAATCACATATAAAACCTCCTTTTTTTAAAATATCTGGAATAATAATTCTATCATTATAAAATAATAATCCTTCTTTGAACGAAATATTATCTTTAATCGAAATATATTTTTTTACAATCTCCGAATAATTATTTATATTATCAATATACCAATGATTTTTTATTAATTTAATCTCATTTAGGTTTATATCATTGCTCGTTTCACTTACGACTTTACTGCGAGTGAAAGATAAATCTTCTATTAAATTAATTTTTAATCCTCTGATTTCTTCTTCGAATTTTTTTGTAACATCATTGGTTTTTGCTTTCTCTACCCCCAAACGGGACAGAGCATCGGCACATTTGTTATGATTACCTAGTCTATATATTATCTCATAATCATAATTTAATAGCTTCGTCGCCCACCGTATTAAACGGTTATTTGTTATTTTGTTAAGATCTCTTTTATCACCTAAAATATATTGTAATGGTTTATGATCAGTAACCAAGATAAAATGTCTTCCAAAAATATATTGATGAAACTTCTCGATAGCGAACATGATCGCCGAAGCCTCCCGATCAATTGTGGCATAATTCTTTTAGCCGCCGAAAGTGTCCTCGATGCGTAAGCAATCGGTTTCTCCTGGCCAGTAAGAAATCGGTGTGCAATAACAGCTCCTAGACCATCTTCAGAAGCGTCACAAGAAATCACGTCAGGGATATCGGCTGAATAAGGAATTATTGTATCTTCTTTTGACAATATATTTTTAACTTTAGTAAATATTTCATTTTCTTTAGCTGACCAAAACCAACCAACATTTTTACTCGTTAGTCGGTGTAAAGGCCCACAAATAGAATGCAATTTTTAATAAATGCCTCATGATAATTCACTATTCCAAGAAATGAACGTAGTTCTTTAACATTGGAAGGTGTTATAAAATTTTTTATAGCGCTAATCTTATCTTCTGTAGGGTGAATTCCGAAACTGTCAATAACATGACCTAAATAAGTGACTGACTTTTCTCCGATTTTAATTTTATCAGTCGTTGTGGTCAGTCCAGCCTTCTCAAATCTTCTTAATACTTCTTCCAAATTAACTATGTGATCGGAATTATTCTCACCTGCAATAATTTTGTCGTCTAAAAATACACTAACCATAGGAATTCCCTTTAATAGGTTTTTCATAAAGCGTTGGAATATTATCGGAGCGCTAGTCAAACCAAATGAAATTCTTTGGTATCGGTAATAACCGACATGTGTCGAAATTACTAAAAGGTCCCTACATTCTGGACTAACTCCGAATTGTAAAAATGCATCTCTTAAATCTATTATTGAAAATATTTTACCACCCGCGATTTTATTTGTTAGGTCGACGAAAGTTGGTAGTAAATCGTTATCGATCGCTAGATATTTGTTGATTGTTAAACGAAAATCTCCGCATATCCGTACGGCACCGGATTTCTTTAAGATATTAACCGTTAGCGTAGCCCAAGTGATTGGAGTTATTGTTGGATCCACCTTCTCGATAACGCCTTCGTCTAAAAATCTGTCCAACTCATCTTCAATGGTTCGACGCAACGGAAAAGGAACTCTTCTTGCTGGTAATGCAATCGGTAACGTGTTCGGTTCTATTCGGATGACTGCCTTTTGCAGTTTGATTTCACCTAAATTTTTTTTAAAAACTTGAGGGAATTTTGAAGCAATCGTATTTAAAGAGGGAACATTCATATTTATTTTATTAATACGAACTTCTTCCGGTAGTTTTATATCAAATTCTCTAATGAAAGGCATCCCAAAAATAATGGAATTCTCCCCTTTAACTACCCAAATAAGTAAAAATTTCGAAATATTTTTTACTTTGACTTCTACGGTACATTTACCTAGTACTTCGATTTGGATATGATTATATCCTACTAATTTATAAGCCGGTGATAGTTGTGGTCTGCCAATACGATTCCAGGTGACCTCATTAATCACACTACACGCGGCGCAGGTATCAAACTCCATAGCTAGCTGCAACCCATTTATCTTCGCATCGATGGTAGCTTTATTTGAAAATGACAGGCGAGGTGTCCGTGGCAGAATCATTTGTATGGCATGGGTTCTACAATCTTTCGCTATGTAGTTTGCCTTACCGCAACGAAAGCATATCACTTTCTTTTGAATAGAGTTAGGTTTGATACTAGGTCTATAATTATTATTAGGAATATAATTGTTACTAAAGTGTTTATTATTATTGAATCTATTGACGTTTGTATAATTATTATTTCTAATAATTATTTTTCGAACCCTGTGTTGGCTTATTTTTAATTATTTTATTAACTTCAGTCTGGGTTTCATTTTCCAACGAAGACAGCGCGATCGCTAAACGCAAGGTCTCTTCAAAAGTAATATTGCCTTCGATATACTTTGACAGAAGTTCTTTGTCCAACTCAGGTAAGCCAACTCCTAGGATAAATATATCTCTTATATATTCATCAAAAGACGGTTTAAAATTACAAAGAGAGCAGACAGTTTTAACCCTAATTGAAAAGTCAACAATCGTCTCACTGCATCTTTTTAACGTAAAAAAAATTTTCCTATTTACAAAAATGCTCGAACTATCCTTGAACACCAAATTTAAGCTTTTTATTAAAGTATCATAATTTATCATCTCTAAATTTATTGGAAAGTGAAAGTTCTTAATTTTGATAAGATTGTCTGTTCCGATATAGGCTAAAAGCAGGTCTTTTTTTGTATTTAAATCTATAATATTTCTTACTTTATAAATTAACTCCAAGTTAAATAAGTAGTCCTGAATATTTACTTTTTCTTTGACGAATTCTGGAATATGGAATTTAATAGGAACTACTTCCATTGAGTCTTTAACTTTAATAGGAACTACTTCCATTGAATCTTCAACTTTAATAGGAGCTACTTCCATTGAGTCTTTTACTTTAAATTTAATAAATCAAATAAATCTTCTCTAAAAATCGTCGCTAATAAAGTGTTTTATTAAATTAGTAAAATAAGTAAAGTAAGTCAAAGTATATTTAATACAAAATATTACGTATATATATAATGAATTCAATCCTTCAGGTTATGTAATTTACAAACGAAAAGTTATATTATATTCAATTTAAATTCAATTTACAATTACATTTATATTACAGGGACTAATGCATTTTAGCTTTTTCCAGAATAACCTTAAGCGCCATGGTTAGTTCTGTCGTGTTTCTACCCTTCCTGTACGATGTGATAGCGTTTGAGAAGTTTTTATCGATGATTGGTTTGATCCTGATTGCTATAATATACGTGAACATTTTTAGGGTAACTGGGATCTGTGCAACATCACTGTAGTCCTTCAGGCTAAACAAGTTCTTACTTTTGAGAAAGTTTAGTATTATCGATGTCATCCATTCCTCTGCGAAGTTGCTTGTGTTCAATATCTCAAAAAGGGGAAGCAGTAGACTAGCACTTAGATCCGCATCTATTTTCCAGAGTTCCGCAAATATCCCATCGATTTCTTTGAATGGCACTGATATCCATTTTGCCAAAGTTCCGATTGGGTGGTTGGAAAGGATAATTTTATTCTATACCTACGAAAGTTTTTTTTCTTCAAAAGATAGATTCCTTATCATATGTCAAATTTGAGAAATTGATAAAATAAAAAAAACTACTTTAAAATACTCTATTTTTTACAAATCACGGACCTAACTTTTAATCGCTATAAAGACCATAAGCAGGAAAATCTGTCTGTGGCAATTGTCTGTGGTCATTAACGAAATCTAAAATGATTGAAGGTTTTAACATCTGCATGTCACATTTTATGATAGTTATATTTTGAACATGTAGTATGAATAAATTGCAATTAGAAAAATTGTTAGAGAAATGTTGGCCTAAGCACTGGCCATATGAGCCTTTATTTAGACGACTTCCGAAACATTATTTATTAAGAAAATTTGAATCAGAAATACGAAAACCTATTCCAGTTCATTGGAAGCCAGATGTTAATCTTTATAAAATTGATAAATATGGAGTCAGGTATAAAAAAAATATTTTTAAAATAATTATTATAATATAGAAAGCCTGTAAATAATCAACCTATTATATCCTTCTCTCCACCTGCTGCTGATAAAGGATTATGGGGAGGAGAAGAAGTTATAAAAGGCTATAAAACTAATCGTTATATTAGGTTTGAATTTAAATTTTTTTTATAGATTTATAAATCATATTAAGAATTCCATATGTATGGGTTCCAACCATATCCCAAAGAATATATTGCAGTGAAATTCTTCAAAAACATCTATTAATTCAATGTACACAGAGAACTGAAGATTTAATAGATAAATTCTTTGGATTTGATCATTATATATTACAAGTTACAGTTATAATAGCTTAGCTTTCCATTTTTATATTCTTAGACACATGAAATAGATTTAAAATCAAGATTAGGTGTCTCTTTAAAAAGGAGCATGTTGATAAAATTAATTACCAAACAAATAACTGAAGATAAAAATTTAAATGAAAAAATTTATCAAACATATCAGCATTATCTAAAAATCAATGACATCAATTCTGTATGCAGTATATTTATGTAATTATTAATTAATTTATATATAGGTAGAAGAAGCAGAGTGGTTTGGATTAACACTTGAAGAGGCTTATGAAAAACAAATATCTTTAGAAAAGCAAAATCCTAAAAATCTTCCAAATCCTTTTAAAAACATTTACAAGAGAGAAATTTTAGAAAAAATATTGAATATACAAGACTCTAAAGAAAAATATATTGCATCAAATTAATATTTTTATTAATAAAATTAATTTTAATCAATATCAAAAAAATTACTTTTTTATATTGTCCATATTTAGTTTACTCCTGCATAATTTTTTTTCTTCTCAAATCTCATTGAAGTAATTTTTATATGACAAATCTAATCTTTTTTTCTCATTAAATTGTGTGATCAAACCAACCAATTTTTTAATTCATTCTATAATAATAATATTCATTCAAGCATAAATAGAAGAATGGAATGGAAATACACCATTTATATTTTTAAGGTCATTGTCTATGCCTATAGTGTCACAAAATAATAATATTAAATATAATATCAATCCATTAAAACTATGTGTAAATACTATGGTTTGAGCAAGAATAAATTTAGAGCTTTAACTTGATAATACCAATATTATTTGTTAAATATTACTGATCAAAAATCTTCCCCAAGCCCAGCCAAATATAAAAATATTTTCAAGCTCAGCCCAACTCATAATAATTTTATAATAAATTTTTCTCAAACCTGGCCAACCCAGTAATTTTCAAAAATTTTTCCCAAACCTGGAGATAGGTAAATCTCTAAAAACCATATTTATTTTTTATTCTATTTTAACCCAGCTCACCCCGATCAAGGCCAACCCATTAAGACTAAGAGTGAATACTATTTTTTTGAATAAAAATATATTTAAATTAGCTTTTACCTGAGAGCCATATAAATATTCTGTGTTAAATATATGCCTAATATTAAAAAAAATTCCCAAACTAGCTCCTCGCACTTGGGAAAATTTTCTCAAACTCGCCAGACTTTTGATAGTTAAGAACTGAAATAAAATATATATAAAAAGTCACAATGCAATTAAAAATACAATCAGAATATGAAAGCTGCATGTGCCTTGGTTTTGATCAGGCCTTGCCATGTCTTCAAAAGAAATTTTCAGGCCAATTTCTAGCCCATATTTAAAATTAAAAAATTTATAGGAATCTAAGACTATAATAATTATGAAAAATGTTTCTCAAGCTATGTCCAAGTCCATAATAATGGTGAAAAATATTCCCAAATCCAGGAAAACCCAAAATAATTTGTTTTTTTCCTTGGATCCAGAAAAATAGGTCTGATTTAAGGGGTTTATAAGAATTAAATTTGTCTAAAATATACATATATTTTTGCCATTTTATATGAAATTTTTTTTTAAATTATCAAATGAAGGGTAAATATCTGATTTACCTATCATTCTACTGGTTAGCTCCTGGTATTTATATGAAATTCATGAATACATATTAAAGTAGCAAGCTGAAAATATGTTCATCTTAATTTCAATTTTAAACAAATCACCCACCCTTCCAAATAATTTATTACTTAGTTACAAAATATAAAATTAAATTTAATACATTGTTATTAAATTACAATAGAAAAAGATATGTCTTAGTTAACAAATAATAGGAGGTTAACTTCTATCATAGTCAAATAAGTAAAACAAAAAGGTTATACATTTAAAAATTCTATAATAAGTTATGAATAACATACATTCTACAATTATGAAGTTATGAGAAAATAAACAAAATTTTCCCATCTTATGAGGTGTTATTTAAAAATTTATATTTATTTGGGGTTATTCTAAAATTTTCCATTATTTTTATAAAATATGTTAATGAAGTATATATTTAGTAATTTTATTTATATGTTATTCATTTGTATTTGTAATTTATAATCTAAAATTATTATTCCTGCTAGATGAGAGTTTTGTGTTACCAAGGTGTTCTTTGTGCCTTACTTATTAAAAGCCCTTAAGAAAAGATCCATTCCATAATCTATTAAATATTTGAATTTATACAACTATACATCTTTCAATTAGGTAATTTTTATGCACAAATAAATATTTGCATCTCTCTTATCTTTTCTGAAACCCCAATATAATGGTATAAAATTATAAATTATACATAAATTCAAGTATTAAAATAGTATTTAAATAAATCTCTTATTCCTATTGAATTGGTACTTGATGCATTTAAAGTTCTACTGATCCCTAAATATTCAGGAATATGTATAATATTAGGTGTGTATTCAGTGCATTCAATGCACATTGTTGTTTTTCTGGACTGATATTTTTCATATAATTACATATGGAACTATAATATGCATAGATTTAGGAGGAGGAATAAAAAAATGTTTGATTTTCTAACTCTAAGTTAATTAAAAATTATTTATTAAATATGAAAAATTTACTTTGATATAAACTTCTATTTCTGAAAGTGCCATCATTACTTTATTTTCACATCTTAAATAAGCTAAACCAAACAATTGTATCTATAATTGTAATGAGCCAAGGCAGTTTGGAAATCCATATCAAAGTATTCTTGTGAAATTTAAAAATATATTAAAATCTAAAATTAGGCTTAAAATTGCTATGATGATTATCATTGGACAAATATTTTTTAAAAGAACACTATTGGTTAAATTTGATTGATGTTTTTTGAGGATTATTATAATAGATCTGATTTAATACAATTTTCTGGATAACATTTTTATTGTTTGTAAAATATTTTTCCAAAATTCTTTTTTCTTGCAATTTTGATATTGATTTCTTTTTCCTGAGGTTTAGGAATATTAGGGTTAAAGGCTAACTGAATATAGAGTTTTTAAAGCGTCATTGAATGTAATTTTGTCCCGATTGCTTTAGCACTGCCAATCTAATGTTCGACCTTCTTTATCTTCAAATAATTTTCTAAGCTCATCTGGTTAGGAAATATCTAAAAAAAAATTTGGGCTGGGCTGGTCAAAAAGTAGAGACTCAGCTCTCTTATTAAAGATTAGAGAATTAAAAAAATTATTCTAAAGCCCAATTTTGTTAAATAATATTTTTTATCTTAGTAATGACAAATTATTCTCACGTTATTTTAAATTTAAACTAACAATTTATTTTTTATTTTCAAAAAGGATGAGTATTTATTACTATTCAAATAAGAGAAAACTTGGGGTTGAAATTTGATTTTTTAAAATATCTCGCATGGAAGTAACATAATTTAAATATTGTTTATTCTAATCATTGCCCTTTTATCCAATCAATATATTTAAAAAAGAATTAATAAATTTTCCCAAAGTTCATAATAATAGTTGGCCATTTAGGACAATTTTTAGAGAAAATTAACTATAAATTGTAATTCTTATAAAGATCAAATTATTATTGGCAGTTATAGAACATATTTGGTAATATAGATAAATTCTGATATTTAATAGAGTGATAATTGTTGACAAATGGGAAAAAGTCTTGTCAATAAACGGTCTTGAGAGAATTAATATTTTAGAATAACGTCTTTTATTCAATATTTTTATAAATAGAATTAGCTGATTTATAACATAATTTACAAACATATAATATATTATTACATTACAATACGAATATATCGTTAATAATAATATATTGTTACTAAAAAACAATCGCCTTAAACCTTCTAAAATAAAAAAGAATACTAATATAAAACGAATATATCGTTAAAAAAATATATAGTTACAAACATGTAACAATAATTATAAAATATAGTGATTTTAATTTAACCACATCCCAGGGTTGGGCAGTATTCTGGATATTTGTTTCTAAGATACAAGATATTTTTGTATCTTTATTTAAATATTGGAAAGAAAAGTATCAGTATCAATCAACTTTATATGTAAAAGGATACAGATACTTTAAAAAAATTTATATTAGTTAATTTAAATAATCAAATCTTTTTATGTCAACTATCTACCCAGCTGACCCAAATTGAAGTTTAGATAAGTTTTGTTTTGTAAATAAAGAATCTTTCAATATTGCTGAATTGGAATCAAAATTGTAGTCTAAAATATTTTTCTGTATTTTATTCATTAGCGAATAATAGGATATAAGAGGTAATCAATAATCATAGACGCACAAAGAGTAATCCAAAGTAAACGAAATAAGTCTAATACATGATAAATCATTCATAATAAACAATTCATAATCTTTGAAATTACAAAAATGTTCTTTATATATCCATTAAAAAATATAAATAATCATTAAAAAAAACAATTATTAAGTTACGCAAAACGAAAAATAAAATGTTCTTCGTTTAAAATTGAATTTAACTTAAGTAGTGTTGCCTAATAGGCTAATTTTAGGTGATTGTAAAACGGCTTAGCCAAGATTTTAGGGAAAAAATCAGCTAAACCTAATTAGGCAAAAATTCTGCACTGGCTAATCGTCCTTTAGCGTTCCGTAAGATATGCTTAGTATTAATTTTTATTTATTTTTAGTAAAATAATTTATTTTGTTTATTTTTAGTAGTGCTGTAAACATTTTTAAAAAAATCGAACGCGTTCACGTTCAAATTCAAAAAAAGGAACAAAATTTTATGATAAATTTTTTTTAAAATTTAATTTAATATAAATAAATGCCTTATATTTTTCAACACAATATATTAGCCATGATAAAAAAATAATAGTTTTATTTTGATAATATAATTATAAATACAATATAATAGAGCGATAAAAAAATAAATTCATAAATTTTTTTTCTTAAATACTAATATTAAAATGCCTTATTATAATTAACTATATATATATATTATGTAATTATTTTTACTTAGAACAATTAAAATAAATTATTAACTGGCTATATAGTTATACATATTATATAATATAAAATAATTAATGTTACAATCAGATGTCTTTTTAAATTGGAGCTTGAAGATGTTGACACTGATATAATATTTTTTGGACACATTTTACATTTGGTAACTATTGAATTACCTTTTGATTTTAAAACAGTGAAATATTTTTGATATTTGGGCCATGGTAATTCTAATTCATCTAATATTGAATTTTGATTTTCAGAATCTGATGATGAAATATTTATATCCATGCAAATGCTAATCTATTAAATTAAAATATAAAATATTCAAATTAATAAACTTTAATCTTATCTTCTCTAGCAGTAGCACGTTATGGTACGTTAATTGCAATATGAAAGAGGAAAAAGTAAAAACAGCTGATTAAAAAATATAAGACTTTTTTGTTAAAAAATTGGATTAAATATTAATTTTTCAAATAAATAAAAATATAAGACTTTTTTGTTAAAAAATGCGGATTAATATTAATTTTTCAAATAAATAAAAATAAAAAGTGTTTTTAAAATTGAACGAACTTAAAATTGAACGCGTTCATTAAAGAAAAGGAACGCGTTCACGTTCAAAGTTCGTCAAAAAAAAAGGAACGCCGTTCATCACCTTTTTTCAAAAAAAACGAACTTCGTTCACGAACGCGTTCGTTTACAACACTAATTTTTAGTAAA